GGTGCACATGCCCCAGCCGGGTGATCTGCCTAAACTGGGGCGTGTGCCCCTCCCCCCCCCCCCCCCAGACACACACATACATACATACGTCAGACAAACGAGTGTGCCCGGGTAGTGGTCAGACTGACCCTCCCCCGCCCCCTCCTTTTTGTTCGGGTTTACAGCGATTTCGGACAAAATCAAATGCATGTACCCTCAGGGGCGGATCCACGTAGCGATTTTTCGGGCCCCCCCCCCCAGCCCCCCAAAACGATAAAAAAAAATAGGATAATAACATAAAGTTAACCTTTATAAAACAGCTGACTGAGTCGGCGCAAAATATTTGCTGAAAAATTGGACCAAAAAAAAGTGCCTCCTACCCCCCCCCCTCCCCGCTTATTCACCGACGGCTCAGTCGCAACTAATATTTTCTCACGGATTGGGCCCCCCCCTCTTCCCGCCGGCTGGATCCGCCACTGTGTGCCCCCCCCCCCCCGCAATAAAATCCCACATCTTCCCATATCAGTGTGTCGTTAGAATAAATTTATTTTCGAATGTGAAGCTTAAATTGCGATTCGCAAACCGAATTGCTATCGTTGATCTTTATGATATTACTTTGAACATGTCATAACAATGGGATAAATGAGGGCTTTAGTGGATATTCGTGAGACGAAGAAGATTATTGTCGTTAACGCTTGATATGACCATGGAGCTCCATGATGTGATGAACTTACCCTGTCTACAAATGGGGAGGGGGGGGGGGGGTAATTTGCATAGAAATACATAATTGAAATTCAATAATCAATTAATAGGATTTGTCAACATTTATTTTACATGCCAACTCCCTAGCTGGTGGTACGGATAATAAGTGAAAACATAATGGAGGAGGGAATTAATCCCTTATTCCAATGAAATACAATTTTCCCCATCAATGTAATCTTGCTTTCAATTTTGTCTTCGATTGTTTTTTGCTTTGTTTTTGTTGTTGTTTTGATTATTCTTATCATTATTATTATTATTTTTTAAAAATTATTATTATTATTGTTATTATTATTATTATTATTTTTTCCTTTTTTTTTGGGGGGGGGGGGGGGTTCTCAACATTTCGTATTTAACGTGATATGTCCCATTACAATTTAAATCTTCATCATGTATATGTTTGTTTGCTTGATTGAAATTTGTATTGCTGCGTTCAATAACATAATACAAATAATCAAATATTCCAGAGAAAAAAAGCGACTGTCTGTGTCTGGCGGTGGCGGGTAACGGTATAGACAAACACTGTAATATCAAGGGGACATGGCATCTCATTCTCATTTTAGCCCCTAAAATTTACTAGCTAGAAAAATCAAATTTTGATAAACGTTTTATTTCATATACAGTTCGTGTACCACAGACTGCCCAGCGTTCCATATAGGTCTACATGCATATCCATCCACAAGTTCCTCCACAAACTCTACAGAAACAGAAAGTGAATTCAAAATTCACGCTCCCAGTCATGGGTATAGGTAATGGCCAGTAATACGTTGTCCTGTTATCGCCATCAACTTTCTATAATCTTGGGTGGAATGCCCTCCCGTGTAACCGCAATATGCCATATTTGGTCATGGTTTTTTCCAGCACAACCGAACCGCATCTATCGGACTAGTCGAAATGTTGAAATTGGGAGAAATTTTGGTGCAGGAGAAAATCATATACATGAATGTATTTATACAAAACTACAGATACATAATAATTATGAATAAAATGAGCATATCAATTATATGTACTAACACTAAAACAGTCTAATGTTCATACAGCACTTGCCATTTGTATTCGCCCATTGATCAAATATTGTTATGTAGGGTCAAGGCTTAGGGTACTTTGTTGATTGAGCCCGAATTATGTGAAGAGATTTTCAACTGAAATTCAAGGAATCGGACCGTGAGAGGTAAACATTGGGATGTGTGTCTCATCTTCCCAAGTATGCCCTTTGTTGCTGAGCTGATGACAATCGTTTTCCTTCTCCTCCTTCTTGAAAACTTTCAATACGTCCTCAAAACATTTTCTTACAAAATACAAATCCCTCATCTATACCCGAGCGTCGTTCTGATATTATCTTTCTTCGATAATCATAATTCATGTAGTAGGAGGCCTATATTCATCGACTCGGATTTGGTGACATTTCTGATATCAAATTACTGAATGATGAAAAATAATGGTAATCAATGACAATATTTCATATTCTCAGCTGATTGTATAAGCATTAAAAACACAGTGAATAACGATACATTTTGAAATTCCGAACGTTCCTTAACCACTGTTTACCAGTGGAATATGTACTTTGGGACATGGAGGTTCCTAAGGAATGGCCCCAATCTACGCTACTTTGACTGTGCAGTTATTCACCCCTAAAGATAAGGGTAAATAAACGAGATTATTTAATTGTATCGATGAATTTATTTGACAGATCTGTTGTCTCTGAGCGTCTTGTACATAAACCAATGAACATTTTCTTTCCTCCTGTCTTTTGTTCTTTCTACCTCGCCCAGTTGCCCTATTAACTTTGACTGTGTTTTCATGCATGCTTTATAACATCAGCAGATAATATTTTTTATTATTCAGTAATTTGATATTAGAAATGTCACCAAATACGGGTCGATGAATTTAGGCCTCCTACTACCATGAATTATGATTATCAAAGAAACTCGGTCTACAGATGAAGACGTATTGAAAGTTTTCCTCAGTCAGTAAAGCGTCCGCCTCACAACCGGGAGGTCGTGGGTTCGAACCCCGGCCGCGTCATACCAAAAGACGTTAAAAGATGGGAGTTGTTGCTACTTTGTTTGGCGTTCAACAATAAGGGATAGAGCAACGTCGATCTGGCGCTGCTCAGTGGCTGCCGGGCTCACGATCAATTGGGCAAAAAGAATTTCCGTTTCGGTTTAATAAAATTTGGAGTGGACTATTAGGCTATTATTATTATTATTATTATTATTAAAGAAGAAGAAAGAGAAGAAGGAGAAGTAGAAAGTTAATAAATAAACAGCAATTATTTTGTACATGTATATAGACACTTTGAAGGCTTCACTGCATAGGAATTGTTATCATTTTCAACACATAGTCATTTTTAAAATAACAATTAAAAAGAGGAAATAATCACGAATGCTAACGCTGCCTTAGCAATCTGTCCAATCTGGTGCACTATAAGCAATTTATATAAGGCCTGTTAACCGATACTCTATCAAGTATTCTTTATCTCTTTGTTATGCTTATTACATTATTAATTTCACTTACATATATTAAAGGTACTATGTCCCATTTGCAGGACAAAAAAATGAAAAAGTTAAATTCCAACTGCATTTGAAAGATAATACTAATTTAGAACTTCCCTTAACAAAAGTGGGGCTTGAAAATGTCTTCAAGTGGGAAAATAACGACTATTAGTTGTCAAATCGACTTTAGGGCTATAGAGCCCCAAAGTAATAGTCTTGATTTTCAGACAATTGTACCGAATGGTCATACGTTTTATGCTGCGCAAAGATCAGTTTAATCTTGGCCATCACAAGAAGTGGGTTATTGATGTAGACAAATGCTCATGTACCCTTTACAACTCTTTTCATGTATGTTATTATCAAAGAAGAAAACAAGCCAGTCAGTCACTCAATAGTGTCTGACAGTGAAGTCTATAGCAAGTAAACGGGTTTCCTTGCATAATTTGAATATGAGGACACTGCTAACGTTTAAATTTCACAGATAGGACATACATGACATATTCATAATTCCTGCAAAGTTCTACAGAATTTGAGGTTGGCTGCAAAAGGGACATAGTACCTTTAAATCTCATCAATTCAAGTTAATCAATTAATGAAGACTGTACATTTGTTTTTGATAGCTTTCCTTTCAACCTTTGGATCCCCCCAATAGAATGGTTTCTATGATAAGTTTCGCCATTAAACGTGTTACAAAAAATTACCACCGAGTCTTATATGGAGGTGTGGTAGTATAGTAGTTCTTTCACTTGACTCCCAATTCAATTTCAAGGGTTGAGGGTTTGAATTCTAGCCCGGTACCAACATCCTCAGGCAACACGTCAGTCAACATTTGCCACTCTCCACCCAGGTGTAAATGGATCCCTGTCAGTTGCTGGAGCAATGAAAAAAAACAGGGCCCTCAATCAGGAAGAACAGCATTGGAGCTAATGAGGTTAATATGGGCGAACAAAATAAGTACATGAGTGTATTACTATAGATGTGAGTTTTGACTCCCTATATATATTTTTTTAAAATCATGTCATGATGTACACTGTTTTTTTTATTTGATGTGATTTGATTTGATTTATTGGTTTCTGCATCTTTTTTCTTTTTTTTCGTCATACATTTTCATGAACATAATATGGTTTGATACAATATTTTAAGTGTATATACGCAATAAACCTCAATATAAACCTGGAGAAAATAAAGCCAGTATCATTTCAAGATGATTCCTCTCCATACTATTTTGCTTTTGTGGTTTTTCTTCTTTCCGGTTGAAGAGAAATTAGAACAAAACAAAACAAGATGTCAAGTCTTCTTTATCCTGTCTGATTTATTTCCTCAATAATAATCTTGGTACAACGTCAGTTTATTAGTTCATCCAAAACATTATAATCGTCTGGAACTATATGCTGACCGAACCGAAGTAGAGAGTTTATCCCTGGTTTATCTGTACAAGTCTGGGGATCCACGTTTTGCCAAATAAACTTTGTGGTCCACGCCCCCCATTTATACTTTCAGTGCACGGACACAGTTTATGTACTGCCACTGGTATCATTTGTTTACTTTTGGGATCTGCAGAAATTCCCCAGGTTTGTCACTTTGCGAGTTACGCAACAATAATCAAGTCAAGCTGAAATGACCCGAACAGAGATGATGATAAAGTTCAAACTTCCGGTGACCCCTCAAGGTAAAAGGCGAGCTGTGATTGGTCAGTCGGGTCCGTGCTGATTGACAGTTTTACAGATACTAGACTTGCTTACAATGCATACTGATGTGTGTGCACTGCGCAAGTCCAGTGAATGGATAGGCTATGTGCATTGCTAGAAACTAGAGTTAGGATTGGCAAAGATGTGCGCAAGTGTTGTAATGTACTGTCCGGAAAAATCGCGAACCCGTGTATGTTGACAATACTCAATGAGTATACGGGCAATGTAGATTGTTTTATTTACAACTATACAAGGGGAAATGATCATGGAATAATATACGTGCTCTAATGTCAACGAATTTCGCGAAACGTCAACTTTTTTTGGAAATAAAACCCGTGCGTGTGGAGATAATCTTCATGTTGTGTTGCAGTTTTTTCGTTGCTGACTTTTGATTTTCGCCCAAGATGTTGTTTAACATGTTTATGAACAGAGTCGAAGGAGTTTAAGGAATAGGAAATTTAGTTTTATCGAAGGGGGACTGAATATTCGTTTGATTTTTCTTTCATGTTGGATGTTACTACTTTGGAGTATATCGGTGAACACATTTCAGCCGTAAGCATGGGGGAGGTAATGGCCGCCGACAAGGTGTCGTGGCCGCAGATGTTTGATATGAACCTCAACGCAACCTCAGCGATATACTCCCCGCACCAATCCCGACAGATCCTCTCCAACAACGGGGTATCCTTCTGGCCGGGAGACAACAACACCACGAACTATGCCACAACGAATGGTACCATTACAGAAGCACAGTTGCGCAACGAGTTGAGTGCACATCGAGCTGCTGCCACAACGAATGGCTACCATCACAACATCATGGGCGAGCAGCACCAATCCAGTCTTGGGTTGACGGGCAACTGGCCCGAGAAATATATCAATGAGGTATAAACATAACCAGTAGTATTTCGTAAGACATTGCACAAGCACTGCATACAGTGCGCGCACGATGCTGAACGAATATACACAATACCCATTTTTTCTATGTCATTCTCACTTACCATTTCACCTTTCCCCACTAATTTCACTCCATATTTCCATACAACATGACTTAATTATATTTTATATTTATTGGTGTATATTTTGACAATCCAAATCGATTGTAAAAAGTAAAGATTTATAGGTAATAGCGCGAAATTCGTTAAACGTATACACACCCACTATATTACACCCGTAACGACGCGACGTGCACGTTTTATACGTGGCGTATAAAACTATAATGTTCCCTTCTCTTGCATTTCTCCATACTTTTTCAATAATGATCGCACATTTAAGTTTAATGAATTATTAGTAAACACCTTTTTCACGTTCCATTTAAATAATATTTATAGAAACAATTATGTAATTATTATAGCTCAAATTAACCAGAAAGAGAAAGTCTCAGTTTTCAGGTAATATGAAGCAGAATAGAGTTAGTATTTATAATTATATGGCAATATAAACAATCACTATTTTTACTATCCTTGACCTGGTTACGAGTCCATGTTCACTTTTAGCTATTTAGTGAAAATATGTGATCATTCAATTCTGTAGGCATATTTTGCAGATGAAATGAAAATCATGATCGCTATTTGATGAAAATAACACCTCTTATATGATTTGTACATGCCTTCATACTGATTCTGATTATCTCCCCTTTTACAAAATAATGTCAAAAAACATTTATTTAAAAAAAATATATAACTACATTCTCCCTGTTCGTTTGAAGTAGCTACATGTACATACATTTTTATTGATTTATTACCCAATAATTGCCATAAATACTGAAACTTATTGATTCAGTTCATGAACAAAAACAGACCTATTTTAATAAATAGATAGGTATGTTTTATACATTGCCATGATGAAACCAATCTTATTGCAATATGAAGGCCTGTTTTTGTTTGGGAACACAATCTGACAATGAATATATTACCCTTGTTTTAATTTGTAGGCCTATTCAAAATAGCTTGTTATTCTGTACATGTATACCATAATAATAGTTATGATTAAGATGTTTTTATATTTTAATAGTTGAAGGCCTTCTGAATAGTTAATGTTTCTGAGGCTAGAGGCAATCATTTATTTGAATATCATGCAATGGTATTTGAAAGTCCCGAAATCATATACCAGCTACATGATAGCTCGAGCAGATGCTACTGCTGTCGGAAACTCTCATGTCACCACCCCAGAGATGTAGCCACAATGACTGCTCGTTTTCCGTACTGCTATTTCCGCTCCACGTGTCTTCAACCCTTGCCATTGCCAGCAATAGCTGTAAACGCTATATAAAGCTCCGCACACAATAGCCCTCGCACGCGCACTCGATAATAAATAGACGCCCTTTCATGCTTTATTTGTAAAGAAGTGCTCGATACCGACACCGGTAGTTCTTTTCTGCAGTAGAATTATCGGCTTATTGTTGACATTGTCGTTTGCACAATACCTCTAATCGGCCATGTCAACTAACTTTTGACCCTTTTACAAAACGGTGTGTACAATGTACTTATATCAAGTGGTACAACCTGCACACTAATCCTCCTATTGGAGGCGTTAAAGAGCCACTAGGCACTACATGGGACAAAAAGGTTTGGTGTATCAATTTTTATTGATGCTAAACTGCCTGCTACGGTGCTACCGATTTGTTGCAATAAAACTTGTAATAATGTCAAGGAATATATTTAATGTATTGATTTAAAACAAAGGGCTTTAACATTAAAATAAAACAATTATTCGTTTTTGTGTGGTTGCTGGAATAGTGCTCTCAATACAATGTGAGTGCCATTAATGGCTCAGAAATCATAAAGAAGGTGTAGAGACTAATGGGATAATCACTGAAAATCTTCCTTTTCGTGGTCCATGATTTAGCTTCACCTGAACTTACATGTAGCTCGTAAATGTTACTAAAAATACAGAAACACTGATGGCATAATATGTTGCCATTCTCAAAGTGTGCTATTTACCTTTAAAAAACATGATTTTGTAGCACAAATCGAGGCTCCAAAACTGCATGGCCAATGGGGTTCGATACTACATTCACAGACCTTTATTGTAGGTTGCTTACTTGCTTTAACTGTTTGACTACTGGATTCCCCCGACAAGTTTGTTTATTTAATTAGTTTGATGTGAATGATTAATGAAGGGTTTAATAGCTAGGGATGATACTCATGGATATCGTGGGAATGAAACATGTGTTATTGGAACATGATGGATGATGGGAAGTCATAATATTGTTGAGAAGTAGGCGATGATAGACTTGATGATAATAACCATAATGACAATGTATAATGGCAGGCATTAATAATGATGATGAAAGAAAGAAATAGTAATAGTACTAGTAGTGGTAGTAGTAGTAGTGGTAGTAGTAGTAGTAGTAGTAGTAGTAGTAGTGGTAGTAGTGGTAGTAGTAGTAGTAGTGGTAGTAGTAGTAGTAGTAGTAGTAGTAGTAGTAGTAGTAGTAGTAGTGGTAGTAGTAGTAGTAGTAGTGGTAGTAGTAGTAGTAGTGGTAGTGGTAGTAGTAGTAGTAGTAGTAGTAGTAGTAGTAGTGGTAGTAGTAGTAGTAGTAGTGGTAGTAGTAGTAGTAGTAGTAGTAGTAGTAGTAGTAGTAGTAGTAGTGGTGGTGGTGGTAGTAGTAGTAGTAGTAGTAGTAGTAGTAGTAGTAGTAGTAGTAGTAATAGTGGTGGTGGTAATATTAGAAGAAGAAGATTTGAAGAATGATGATGATTATTTTTTATATAGTTACAATGAAAGTAGTTTAGATGTTATCACTTGATGACGGTATAATGATTAGGTCTACAAGAAAAGGAATATTTTATTGATAGTTTTATAACAATATAAATAATGATCATTATTATGTTGTTATTATTTACATGTATGTTATTAGTATTATTATTATTAGTAGTAGTATTATTATTACTATTATTATTATTATCATTTTTATTATTATTGTTGTTGTTATTATGATTACTAAACAAAGTATGGTTTGAGTTATACATGTAGGCCTAGTGAATGAATTCCATAATAGTCATTAGCATTCTGAAGTACTGACAATTTCATTTAGGGTGATAAAACAAAATTATGCTTTTAAAATCAAGTGATATATTGGGGAAGAACAATACAGGCAGAGATGAAGAAAGAAAATAGAATTGATTTCTGATGAACCTGTTCAGCGATTTCTCCTTCTCTTCCGGCAGAAGTTGTCCAAAGGAAAACCCTGAAAAGGGGCAAGGTCGTGGGTTATCCATACGGAATACAATTTATGAAAATTAGTTTCTTGATCTAAAACGCCTAGTACATCCAGAAAATCCACTGAGAAAACCAGCGAGTCAGCTTTTTGATCCAGTCAAAAGTCGAAAGGGTAGGCAGTTTTTTTGTGTCAAGTCTGAACTTTGAGGTCTGAAAGAGAGGGGGCGGAGAGGATTGAGGGAGGGAGAAAGGTGGAGGGAGAGATGGAGGAGGGTGTGGAAACGCGAGGGAGTGAGGGAGGGATGGAAAAGCGAGGAGAGAGAGGGAGAGGAAAAAAGTCGAGACGAGAACAAAAATCGAGACAACCATCTCTAACCTAATTGCTTAGGGATTTGGAGTTGAACTAGAACCACTTCCTATATTTCTGTTTTGATCTTGCTCTGTGTATCTGTCAGTCCATTGTCTAGGTCAGAAACTGAAAAGACAGACAAGTTTTAGACCCAACAAGTTATGTTTTGGAAGTTGTCTAGTCAGTTGTCGTATCCTGGGTACTCTTCACATCATCATTTATTATGAAACGCTGTCGATTATTTTATTTTTGGGAATAGGCAAACATTTGTTAACTCCTTGCCTAAATGCATTTTCTACACTGGAAAATGTTACTGCCTCCCTGTGTTTCGATATTTTGTCCACTAAAAAAATCTTGAATATGTTTATTATAAATAACTTGTTTTCTTTGGGTAGTCAACCAGATTGTGCAACATCTTATTTTATTTCGATGCTATTCTTCTTGGTATTCCATCGTTTGATCGTTAACATAAAAATAAACATTTATTTTCCAAAAAACTAAACTATAAATCGAGATGGTGACATATTGCGACTACAAACATGTGCATGTCCTTCGCAACTACTCAAAGGACTGCATTGAAAAATATTGAAAACACAGAGAAATAGTATTCGTCATGAAATTGTTATGATATAATCCATGTAACTATGATATACTCGGTCTAGTATGTCTGAGAGTTCATGTTTGTCAAGAAATAGGAGACGAACTCGGCGATATACAAAATTGTAATTTTAAATGTAAAGAATTGAAGAAGTCTATATTATGTATCTAGACCTCAGCATTATTACTGCTCCGTGTGTCGTCTGCCTGTCGACCCGTCATCATCATCTTCTTCTCTTCGCTTGGCTCTGGTTTTATCAGGTCTGCTGATGGTGAAAGCTCAGCACTACGGTACAGGGGTCATAACCTCCATCTGGTTTGTTGTGGGGATGGCGAGGCATTTTGCATGGCTCCAATTACGGAATTCAGGCTCTAGTCTTCACCAGCGAGCTTCTTTCTTTGGTCTTGGTGATGTCGACAGTTGTCCGTTTCTTTAAAGATGAAGTTGAGTTCTGGTCATGCGATTGCATTGTGAAAGAAACGGTGTGGAATCGACCAGAAAAGGTTGATCATCTAGCATATAAGAATTTGTGTGTATTGCAAGATCTGGAATCATCAAAATGATAAGAAATTTGGCCAAGTCTTGGTAAAGCTCCAAGCACTCTACACAGAAAGATGTATATGGGACTACACGAACACGTGGCGTAAAAAACCTACCCCCCGAGTTTTACGATGAACATGACATATTTAGAATATGAAGGCGTTTGAAGAGCCATGCTTTTCAGGGAACATGTCTTATCTGATGTTCTTCCACACTTGCATAATAAGAATGATAAAGTTCACAAATTATTTTTCACCTCTTCCCAGAACTCAACCTTCTCTTTAACTTTTATCATCTTGTTTCGAAGTTATTTTAACCCTCTATTTCTGTCATGATCGTGATTGTCACCTTCGTGATCGTAACTATTGTCATCATTGAAGTCATCTTCATCACCAATCATCTTCATTATCATCATCTTCATCAGTAATCATCTTCGTCTTCATTATCATCATCGTCATCTATAAATCTTAGTCATACAGGGTGTAGTAATCAATCCATTTCAAACATATTGCCAAAATCATCATCATTATCATCATCATCATCATCATCATCATCATCATCATCATCATAATTATCTGTATCATTCATTACCTTTATTAGCTGATTATACCATAGCAAATAATGACATTGTCATCGTAATAACGATCACCTGTCGTCAACCTCGTCATCATCATCGCCATCTGGATTGTATTTGTTCATGATGATTAAAATCGTTATTATTATCAGCTTAACATCGACAACATTCAAAACCAAAATAGTAACTTGGATTTTTATGACTATAGAACTTCCTTCCATGTTAATACCCATGTATATTCCCTTTGCAAAATTTGATAACGCCCTCTTTCCTTTCATTCGTTGTTGACTCAGGCCTTTATTTTTGCTGGTATCTATCTAGCCAAAAATAACCAAAAACAGTAAACATACAACTAGACCAGTAGAGACGAAGGAGGAAACGTCTGTTATTTGCCAGCATTTCCCTTAAGGAATTCAATAAAGTTCTGAACATGGCCAAGTCCAGAAAGATTTCCTGCTTCAACACGCAAATTTCGAAAGTGACAACCTTTGCATTTCCAACCCTCGTTTCTATTTACATGAGACTATTTCTTTGCGATTCAGCATCTTTGCACCCTTCTCGAATGAACCATGCGTTACGAATGTGTTGTTGATGAGGTTAATCATTCTATCACTTTATGAATGGGTCAAGTTGAATGTACTTTCCATTTTTCTAAAGGTTATGAGTATAACTACGTAAAGATAATAATACCAGACACATTTTATACATCTTCTTTATGTCTGTTTGAAAGGATGAAACGGGAGCACTTTTACTTTAATAAACATGTTTTTTCACATGCTATCTGTCATACATTTATTTTCACTAGAACTTTTGTGTATTTTGTGTTGGTTTCAAAACGAGTTTTTTTTGTTTATGCCACGTACATGTACATGTATTCGTGTCGTCTAATATGATACGTTTATGCTGTGGCATTATTGCCTATTGATATTGTTTTTGTAACAAGATTTGCAATTTTCATAAATGTTCTCTCCAAGTACATGGCTCCTCTGAAGTTTAAACTTTTGTTTATGGATCAAGAATATTATATTATTTTTTCCCTTCTGATTGTCGCTCGACATATAGTTTCAAATCAGGGGTCATTGACAAATTGGGTGTCATTACCGCTGGGCTCATTTTGGTGTCGAACGCTGTCTTGTTATGATAATATTAATAAAGAAAACAAAACCCGATATTTTTTAACAGAGTACTAAGTAGTCTCTGGCCGCTAGACTAGCTTTACAAGGCCATCTACCCGTTGATCAGTCGGCATACTGATCATCTACGAATGCTAGATTTGTAACTTCCACTGGGCCTACAGAGTACTGTACTTCATGTGTAATATTTCTAAAGTGTGCAAGTTGTATTGAGTTTAGATCTGACCAGGAAGGTGATAGGGAAGGGGTAGAATCAAGAGGCTCTCCTTTGACCCCTTGCTCCAAGCCCCCGAATAAAAGAGCGCATGAAATATCAGGATTTAGAATTCCTACATCAGAAAATGGTATCTACTACTCTACCCCGCTACCCCTTTCAAAGATTTCTCATCAATATTGTTAAATTTGAATGAGTTGAAGAAGCGAACACAAACTTTTGTGATTTGATGCTTTTTTCCAACTGCAAAAATACAAAAAACGTGCGAGAAAGCAGGCATTAGCAAATTTAAAGATATCAAAGATGGTAAATCATGGATTTATTGAATTAAATAACGGGGCATTAAAACATGCAAACATTCTAACATATTGATTTTTTTTTCTTTTACCAACTCTGGCACACGAATTATAGGAAGGGCAGAGTACTACATTTTAAAATTGTTTGATGCGCTATTCTTAAAATTTATAATTTACACTGTAGTTTTGCCGGTAATTTGATAAATATGAAACTAGTGCCTGGCTTCCGAAATTCCCCGTAGTGGAAGAGCGGCTCAGCGCATGGAACTTCAAAGCCAAGTGGAATGTTCCGCATCCCATTGTTACGCTTTAGAACTAAGATTTCCCACTTCTCCTCTATCACCTCACCAATCTGACGTACATTGTGTGAAGAGGAGGGAAGGGAGGAGAGAGAGGGCGGGGTGGGGTATGGTGGTGGTGCATGCAGATGATGATAGTGTATTGTGCCATTTAAAAAATATACATGTTAAGCGTCCCCGCCCGCTTCCTTTTTAGGGGCCGCCTGCTATTTTTTTTGTTGTTGTTGACATTTTTTATTTTTTTTAATTTAATTTTTTGAAAGAAAAAAAACATGAAAAACACTGCTAAAATGGCTCTATTTCTGATATTAAAAAAAAAAAAGAATTGTCGGCGGCCATCTTGAACAAAAATAGCCCCGACTGCCAGGGAAAATGTACCGAGCGGCCATTTTGAAAGAAAAAAAAAAGGGCCTCCTCCTTCCTATTTTTCGAAAAAACAGGACGCTAAACATGTTTTTTTTTTTTTTTTTTTTTTTTTTGGCTTTGGTAGTGGGTTGATGTTGGATTAAGATATGACGGAGTTTAATAAGGATGGTGATGTGGGTTTTTGTGTTGGTGGTGCCGTTTATGGCAGTATTGAGTATTGTTAAGGGGCTATCAGAAAATATGTAAAAATTGCTATTTAGTGCGAACACTGTTATTGACCCTCAATTTTTCTAACTACAATATTTGTAATAGTCGATGAGGGCTTTTTTCGTAATTTTGTTAAAAAACGGTATGTGTTTCTTGTAAGAGTAATTTGTAATGTTATGGCTAGGAACCAAATCTTTATTATCCTAAGCCTACATTGTTAAGAATATTAGCTACATGTACACGTACGAATCGAATTAATATTCATGTCTTATGCCGATTATTAATTATTAGTTTTATGGTGTTATCTAATGTCTTACTTTCCTTTATGTTATGAACTTAGGATGACCGAACATTTTAATTTTTTCCCACGCGTATTAGTTTGCGCTTTAATGTAAAAGATAGCGATTAGCCTTTGTTCTAATGTTGTAGATTAAGTTTTTACGTCGGCTTTGAACTTGCCGTGATCTTTGAAATGAACAATAAATCCTCGACTAAGAATTGGCCTATTTTCATGGGCCAACTGACCTATAGTTATAAGATAATCCATTTATTTGGCAATATTTGTCTATTATAAGTACCTCCTGCTCAGTCACACCGCCGAACCAACTTTACACCGATTATGTAACTGACATATTTTAGGGGAAACATTTTGGGGCCAAAATCAAGACAGAACGAGAGAGAGAGGAAAAAAAAACTCTGAAGTCGGACCTGGGTGGTGTTTCACAAATACTAATATCGACTTAAGTTAGACTTGAACCATGGGAGAAAAGTAGACATTTCCTTTCTATTTTGTCATGAGAAAAAAATTGAAATACACAAAGTATGCATTTTTTTAGGCTATGTATTTGGAACAAGAACAACCGAACAAAAGAAAGATGACAAATATATTCAGATCTGGAAATAGACTTTTTTAAATTGAGAAAAAAAAAAATCTCTGCTGTTTTTTAAATAATTTTTTGTCAACAAGTTTTTGACTATTTAGTTTTGACTAAAGAGTAAACTAATAAATCTAAAGAAAGCAAGAAAGGTTTGATAATCCACTTTCAAACTTATTTGCCCATTTCATTCCCCTCATACAAATTGGCAACCTACATTTTTCTAAAACTCAAACAAATTTATTTGTAATTCCCTAGCTGATAATTATTCAAACAGCATCCTAATCGTAATGTTTGGCTACATTTATGTAATTTATCCTCCTGAATTTGTTTGTGTCTCAACAACTACAGGGAATAATTTGCCCAAGTAAGGCAATATAATAAAAATGAATTCGTGAGGAGTTTTTTCCCTCAAGAATATTTGATTGACCCTAATTTTCTTTTGCCCTTGTATTTTTCATTGATGTTATTTTGCATTAGATTAATAATTGATATTTTTGGTTGCCCCAAAGTAAACAGTGTTAATGCATTGTTGGTTCTAGGATTTTGTTGACAAAAAAAAAGGGGGGGGGGTCCAGATCCTCTCTGTAATGTACATGTATGCATGAGGAGATTATAATGTGTACCCTTGTTCTCCGTGTTTAAAAGAAATAATGCCAGATTTGTAATATTATTTATATTATTTGTAACATACATGTACAAAAGATAATATGACAGCTAAAATCTAAGATTTTTGTTTGATTCTAGTTTCATATTTTGCTTTTTTTTTTTGATCAACAGAACCTACCCTTCGGCCATCCACAGCAGCATCACCACTATAGGGAAGAAAGGCATATCCCAGTAACACAAACAACAGTAAGTATTCCTTAATTTACATACATATCTTTCAAACATTTTCTGCAGTTTTTTACACCAAGAGAGGAAAGCAAATTGTTTTAAAAGACTATGAATACCGGTAACCGTTTTATACCAGTAAATGAAATAATTGCACAAACTATTAAAAAAAAAATTAAAGTCTAAAATGATGACCTCAAGAGCACAATAATATATAGTCCCTACAGGTTTAATCCTACATGTACCTCCTTGGTCCTATGTGGGAGTCCTATTGTAAATGAAGAAGGCTCTTGACTCATACAGATAATCCCTGCTTTAATCCTTAATCATTGGTGCTTACATCCTTAGACAAGGTGTTCTGCTAACGACATTGTCCCTCTAAATCCAGGTGTATTATAAATGGGTACAAAATGTACCTGGAGAAATCCGGGGGTAATAATAATTGCAGGCCTGCAGGAAAAGCAGTTTTTTTATTCAGATGTGGCTACATTGTACCCCCTGGGTAATTAAGAACAAATTATAAGTAATAATTATACAACTATTATACAATTAAAATGATGAATTTCGTGATTCACAATCACACAATAAGACATCTGAACAAGATATTACTTAAAAGGATTATGATTTATGATTATTAGAGTAAATGATACAGTGTACAATACTTACTTACTGTTAAGGCCTAAGATGACACAATTTTCTTTTGAAAATGGGGAGAGAGAGGGTTAATGCAGGGGTCATGAGAGGTCATTGCCCAATTGTTATCCAAATAAAATGAGAGGATGTAATGGTGTGTCTTGATGGTTAGTGACCATGATGATCATGATATTTTTCAGAAATTTGAGGTGAAAGGTCATCTTAGGGTAATTTGAGGTCATTTATTACGGTATACAAGATTTTGGCACAGAGGCATTTTTTCCTTCATTCTTTTCTCTTGTTTAAGATGGTTTTATTTTTTGTTGACACAGTCTTGAAAGGAATGACTAAAGACATCCCTTAAAGTTGTAAGGGTCTTACCAAGATGTATTACGGGAAAAAAAACAATTCATTAAAAATGATGAATATTGGATTATTGATAACTTTTTGAGTTTTTATAGTAGGCCAATATTTATTTGTTATCGTGATAGGAATAAGTCATAAATATACATGTGTCAATTACCAAAAGTAGCGAAGTCATTTTTTAGAAAGTATATACCATATTGTACCATGCATGTACATGTATGAACTTTTCCTGCATACATGTAGGACTAAACTTCTGAACTCAATTTTAACATCAATTGATACATTTAAGATAAAAGCGTTCAATAGATCTGTTCCATGTACATGTACATGTACAGTATATCACTATATCATTATCAATGTCTTGAAATGAAATTAGTTTCCATAAAAGTGATGCCTTGAAACATACATACTATTTTTATGAATATATTATTTAGATTTAATATGTATCATGTATATGTCCTTATTTTTGTTCTCCAATTTAAAACAAACAAACAAACAATTACAAAGAAAACAGGAACTAACAGATTGTATTCTAAGTTAAGGTTACAAACTGGCGAGTAGAGTTTGAAAGCACACATACAGTATGTACTTTGACATTCATTTGTTCAAGTCAACAAGGATCTCCTGATGGCATTTCACATAGATCTAATGAGAGGCAGAAAGGCGCTAACTCTCATTGTTTACCTTTGAGTAAGCTCCCCTCTGGTTCTCAACGGACTCTACCTGCTTCATGCACTGAACTCTGCATGCTGCCAGCAAATTGTCTCAACTAATTTGTCCCTTCCTCAATTACAGTAGTTGGGCTAGTCTGCCCATTGCTACTGTAACAGCAGGCACATATGACACTCGACGAAGTCATTTAGAGTTGTAAGTGGTATTTATTTTGAGGATGGATCAACCCTTAATGAGACAAAAAGAAACAGGCAAACAGATTAGTTTTTGTTTCTTTCACATATTGAACATCAGCAAAACTATACGATCATTCATAGAAATAGATACATCAATAACTATTATGATCATTCATAGGAATAGATACATCAATAATAACTATTGCCCTACTTGGCATTTTCCCCACACCATAGAAATACTATACATTTTGGATACTTTTCCATATATGGTTTATAGTTAACATTGTAACATCCAAGAGCAATAAGCAAGGTATAACAATAAAATGCCCAAATATGCATAAGTAATCATGAATACAGAAATATAAATTGTCTTTTTGTATAGTTCTCTTTACTATTACAATGACTCACCCCTCTTGAGCTCTCGAGGAGAGACTCCTAACGAGACAACGAGACTAGAATTAGACCAACTACATGTAGATAGTGCACCATCTCCAACTAACTGCCATCTCCAACCAAGTGATGAAGTAAGACCTCTGTAACATAAATGGTAACTTAAATGATAACTTCTATAACTTTCAAATTCTTAGAAAGTGACATGCAACTTGCAAGCTTTTGATATATAACAAATATTTTACTTTAACAAAATATCCAATACTAATGATACAAATTATCTCTTTACCTAGTTATTACTGTATACCAGGTCTTCTTTTGCATACACAATACTTTATACAGAGAAGCACAGATCGTATCATATTTGGTTTTCTAAACCAACTCATTATGAACAGCAATTAATGATAGGCCTCCAAATATTGACATAATTTCACTTGGGTACTACACAGAGTGTTTCTCTATAGATTCTTCTAGTAGTATCACATAATAACAGCAAAGGAATGTGAAATACAACTCACAACTCAATAAGACACTCAAGAGTTGTCAACTATACATGAAATCAAGTTTCCTCTATACGGTTTCAATCTAATGATGCATGTCAAATATATTATAATTCCACTTAGAACTTACCATAGATGCTGCAGAAATACTATTACGGTAAGTATGAAGTTCTACTCAGAGTTAGCTTCTCTGTCAAATCCAACCTCCTAAGTCCTGAGTGGATGCATGGTCTATGCTCATCCCTCTCAATCTGTGATCTGCCAAAATATCCTTTCTCTCCTTACCCTATACCCTCTCTGACTCAAGGTCAAAGTGCACTTCCCCTATGATGTGGCAAAAAATCTATTCTTCTCTCCAAATCACCCCATACCCTCTCTGACTTAAGGTCAAAGTTAACTTCCCCTTTCAGGGACCACCATTCTTCTCTCCAAATCACCCCATATCACCCCTCTCAGACTTCAGGTCAAAGTGAACTTTCCCTTTTAGGGACCACCTCAGAAGTACACTTAAAGGGATCTCCTTATTCAGAGACATGGATCCCTTCATTCAGGGACCTCCTCAACAAATGGAATTGAGAAACATTTCGACCTGTCACATTCTCCCATGTTAAATAGTTGCTGTCTCAGCAACAAATATTAAGAAACATTTCGACCTGTCACATTCTCCCATGCTAAATAGTTGCTGTCTCAGCAACAAATATCTAGATATGTATACATATATTTATCGTGTATTATACTCATATTTCCTACAGAAACATATATAAATTCAGGTATTATACTCGTATTTCCTACAGAAACATATATATAAATTCAGGTAATTTTGACATTAGTGAAATATTACCAGCTACCAAAATACATTGAACAGGTGGGAACCCTGTAATGACATATCCATCCCTTCACTCAACACAGATTTTGGTAAATTATATGGATTAGTATTCCTTCCCGCAGTCGGTCGAGTTGACCTCCGAGGTCCAGGAATCCCTATATCCTCTTGTTCCATCTGGGGCAGTTCATTCTCGCCGGCCATCATGTGTTCCTCCATATCATTGGTCTCCTCATTGTCCGGCAATGTGTGAGGGCCAGGAGTTAAAGATAACTCCTCATGTTCCATCTGTGACAGTTCATTTTCGTTTTCCAACACGTGCTCCTCCCTACCATCGTTGGTTTCATCATTATCTGACAATGCGTGCTCCTCCCTACCATCGTTGGTTTCATCATTATCTGACAATGCGTGTGGGGCTGATGGCACACTCTCTACCTCTAGCTGGTTTAGTGCCTGGGCAATGTCACGTGCCTCCCATTGTGCATTAGATACATCATCTTGAAATCTATCTTGCTTGCCCCTTGAAGTATGAAGAGTTCCAGTCTTGGAACTAGGTGGCTCTGGAGTTGACTCCGGAATTGACTCTGGAACTAATAACAAGTCAGCTCGGTTCACCGTTTTGAATTTCCTTGAACCATCAACCGGTTCGATTTGATATACATGTCCTGTTGGGCTCATTCTTTTCCTGATGAGGTATGGCCTTCCTTGCCAGATGTCTTGGATTTTGTGTCTTCCCGTCCAAGCCTGCTGACGTAGTAACACTCTCTGACCTACTTCCAAGTCAACATCTCGACTTGTCTTTTGGGCATCTTGACGTCGGCGCGCCTCCTTCTCTAAGTTTCGGGTAGCTCTCTCCCAGGCATCTACTAACTGAGTGTGATGCTTGGATACCCACTCATCTAGGTTGGAGGAATTATCCCCTTCGCTTGGTGGTTTAAAGAGCTGGTCAACAGGCAGTAGCGGCTCTCGACCAAAGAACAAGAAGTAAGGGGTATAACCTGTGCTGGCATGAGGTGTTGCATTGTAGGCAAAGACAAGTTCTGCAATATGCTGATTCCATCTCCGCTTCTCGTCTACTTCCAAGGTTCTGAGAAGATTATGCATGGTCCTATTAAAACGTTCAGCTTGTCCATTACCGGCAGGGTGGTATGGAGTTGTGCGACTTTTCCGGATTCCATACATGTGACTGAGTTCCTTTACGATGTCGGCTTCGAAACACCGCCCTTGGTCACTGTGGAGGCGTCGTGGGACCCCATAACGCACGAACCATTCCTTCACCAGAACCTCAGCCACCGTCCGTGCTTTTTGATCTCGAGTTGGTATGGCTTGAGAGAATTTAGTGAAGACGTCTGTAATCACTAGGACATTCTCAAACCCATTGGATGAGCGCTCCAATACAGTGAAGTCGATAGCCACCACCTCTTGTGGCTTTTGGGCGATGATACTCCCCATAGTGGGGCG